TTTTGAGTCTATGGAGTCCTTTTTCCTTCTTTTCTGTATTCTGTGTATTTGCTATATGAAATTTTTTAATGGGATAAAAACTGTTAAGAAAAACCAGCATTTCTTCCCACCTCTAGTTGGGCATAACTAGAATTCCTATCAAACTCAGGACCTGACACATAGAAGCCCCTCAATAAATGTAGTAAAGGACCCATACGTGAGATCCGAAGGCCCCTCTCACCTGGGGCCTCGGCTGTTGCCAGCACTGCTGCTTCCTCAGCTACTGCCACCAGGCAGGGCCCAGGACCCAGCCCCGGCTGCCCTCTTGGGTCCTGGAGCATCCTGGACCCCGTCCTCCTCAGGTATAATGTGTGTGCAACATCAAGTGGCCAGGCTGACAGCTTGGCATGTCCACTGCCTACCATCACCGTGGAGCTGAGCCTATGCATGCATGCCCTCCACCAAGCATATCTCATCTGCTCACGTGCACACTTCATTGTCTCATTAGACATCACTTACAAAACACACATTCACAGGTAAAATTATCAGGCATTTCAAGATGATGACAGCAAAACATAAAACCAAATGCTTTGGCAACTGCACAGGTCATATACCCCTAAAACCAGCCTAGTGGAAGCATGGGGCAGCAGAGGCTTGACATGAAGTAGTGTCCCTTAGAAGACAGGGTAGGTGACAAAGCAGCCCTGATAGTTGATGTTTCTAGAATATACATACCTAAATATCCACATTACAATTACAACTATGTAATTATATTTGTTGTGGAAAGTAACAGTAAACAAAACACCATAAGGACAGAGAACATTTCTTGTTTTTTTTTATAGCTGTATCCCCAGAGCCTGACCTAGTGTCTGGCACTTAGTAGGTAACCAATGAATAATTTATTAAATATAAAGACATATATTTCTATCCTTACTCTTTCACAGTAGCTTGATAACTCCTATACATCCTTCAAGATCCTATTCAAAATGCCCCCTCCTCTAGGAAGCCTTCTGTGACCCTTCCAGAGTTAGTGTTTCCTCCTGTGATTTACTGTGCCCTGTGCAGCCCTCTATATTAGCCCCAGTTCAAAGCATGAAGTAAAAGACAGGACGTTACATGAATCCTCAGAGTTTGACTTAGTTTCAAATTTTTCTGCTTAGAAATTTTGTCTCTACCAAAAATCCTAACTCCATCAATTAAGACAAAACAAAATATTCTATAGCATTTTTTAAGAAGGAAGGTATTTATTTTGTCTTTTAATCATCCTTTCCTTCTTTTTTGCTGAATGCTTTCATTTTAGTCCTAAAATGTTTCTGCTTTTTTAAAAATTAAGGTATCATTGACATACACTCTTATGAAGGTTTCATATGAAAAAATAATGTGGTTACTACATTCACCTATATTATTGAGCTCCCCCCACCATACCCCAATACAGTCACTGTCCATCAGTGTAGCAAGATGCCACAGATTCACTGTGCCTTCTCTGTGCTACACTGTCTTCCCCATGATCCCCCACACACCATGTGCACTAATCATAATACCCCTCAATCCCCTTCTCCCTCCCTCCCCACCCCTCTCCTTTGGTAACTGCCAGTCCCTTCTTGGAGTCTGTGAGTCCTCTGCTTCTTTTTTTTAATGAACTTTTTATTTTGGAATAAATTTAGAAATTAGAGAAAAGTTGCATAGGTAGTATAGAGTTTGCAAATATACCTCACCCTGTTTTCACCATTGTTAACATTTTATATTACCACAGTATACATGTCAAAACAAAGAAAACTGACATGGGTGATGTATACTTAAGTAAGCTCCAGACTTTATTTGGATCTCACCAGTTTCTCCATTAGTGTCCTCTTTCTGCCCCTTGATCCAGCAGGGCAACAGGCTGCATCTAGTTGTCATGCCTCCTCATGGTCTCCTCCGGGCTGTGGCAGTTTCTCAGTCTCTCCTTGTTTTTCATAACCCTGACAGGGTGGAGGAGCCCCGGCTGGCCATCCTACATAATGCCCTCCAGTTTGGGTTTGTCTAATGTTTTTTCTCATGCTTGGGCTAGGATTGTAGTTTATGGACAGAATACCACAGAGGTGAGGTGCTCCTCTTGTTCCATCATGCCAGGTGACACCTGACATCACTGGTGAGGTTCTCCTTGGTCACCTGGTTGAGGTGTATCTGCTGGAAAGGTACTGTCTTTCCCATTCCTCTCTAGTCTTTAGAAGCAAAGATAGGATCTAGAATCCTATCTCATGTGCCCCAGAACATATCACCATATTATAATTGTCCTTTCAAAGAAAAATTCAGTGAACTATGATCACTTTAAATACATTTAACATCAAGCTTTTAAAGGAAATTTACCTGTTAGACCCAGTGACCTGAGAATTACTATAAATGTGCTAGGCTATGTTATTCTGATGACAAAATAGCATCAATTATGAACAGGTAGGATGGCCCTAACACTCTGCCTGCTCATGGCCCCAGCCCTGCCCTGGCCCCCTGTGACAAATGACAGTCATTCCCAGGCTCCTGCTCTGCCCCAAATGTTATCCTGGGCTCTGTGGCTTGGACCCTGGACTTGACCTGCTCCAACCCCTTTCTTGTTCAGTAGGGGAAACTGAAGACTAGAGAGGGAGAGGGTTTCCCTGAAGTCACACAGTCCTTGAGTAGCAGAACCATGGCTGGAACTTGAGTCTCTTGCTTCCCCAGTTTCATAGTAATGCTAGTAATAATCTATACCCTCCTTCACCAAATCCCTGCTCAGCCAGGAAGGATTCTCTGGTTTTCTGCATGGCTTTCAGTCCTTGTCTCAGTGTCTGAGTTCCTATTGCATAATCAAGCCTGGGTCTAGCATGGGTGTTCCAGACGAGAATAATAACACCTCCACACGATGCTCAAGGGGATCCTGGTAGGGTGGTGACAATTCCATTGATGGCTTAGTACATGCTTGGCTCAGAATAGATGTGAATAACTGTTGAATGAATGGATTCACAAAACACTTAAATTCACAAGCCTGTGCCATCTGGTTAAGGCCCATTACTCACCTTGATGGAAGCATATTCCAGTCCTTGAGAATGTATATCAGTATATCAGTCTCAACTTTTACACTACCTTGTGTGATTCGTTTGACTAGTGACCTACTAATGGTCCCTCCCCTAAAAGAATCTACACTCTGAGAGAGCAGGGACCATGTCAGTCTTGCTCACCAGTGGGATCGCAGCATTTAGCATAGATAGTAAGCACCTAATAGATAGTTGAAGGATGCCTGAGTGAGTGAGTGAGTGAGTGAGTGAGTGAGTGAGTGAGTGAGTGAGTGAGTGAATGAATGAACAAGATCCCAGGCACAGAGAAGACTGGGCTGTTACACACACACAGCCAAGACTTCTCACAGTCCAGATGCAGCTTTCCACACTTCTCACCAGCTGCCAGGCCATCACATCAGATACAGGTTTTCAAATACAAGCAAGAAGTTGAATGCTTGAAGCTAAATAAAGCAGTGGGCTGAGCCAACTGGCCTTGAAGAAAGCTGCTTCCCACTCACCCCACCTGGCACCCAGGAGCCCACAGTCAGGACTGTCTTGCAGTCAACCCTCAGCTTCCAAAATCTGCACCGTCAAGGAATGTAGGGCTAGGGGCTTCTGGGAGGGAGACCACCTACAACCTCTCTGCTACATGGCCACATCAGACCTTGCCTTCCTGCCTGTGTCCACCCTGCTCAGGCCAACACACTCAGATCCTGGGGCAGAGGTGGGAGCAGAAGAAAGGAGGCCCCCTGGGCGCCCCCAGGGAGCACCTCACCTGTGCTAGCTTGCTTGCGGTTCATTGCCAATCAGAGGCAGGGAATGTTACAGCCTTTAACAGATGTGGAAACCAAGGTTCAGAGAGGTCACTAAATTGCCAAGGCCACAAAGCCCATCAGTGACTCTGATCTGACCTCAGCTCTGTCTGATCCCAGAGCCCAAAGTCTTGCTTCAGGCTGTGGAGAAGAGGGTCCTGGTCACAAACTCTATTTTCCTCACTACTGAACTAGTTCCCTTTTCTTCTTCTCTTCACATAAAACACTACCAGGATGATTCACTCGTTTGCTTGTTTTTTATTGTTTTTAAGGCCAATAATATAAGTAATGGGGGTGGGGGTGGGAGCTGTCAGCCATTCATTCCCTGGTGTGAATTAGCTTGGTCCATTTGCTTTCCTTCTGATTCTGACCTCCAGCTAGGTCTCCCTTGAATGGAGCAGGTAGAGATGTTAAAGAAGAGTCAGGGTCACTTAAGAGCCTTCACTGTAGTTAATGTCAAATTGGGAAACTAATGTCAAGAGCAAGGAAGAGAAATGCCCAGAAGCTGGGTTAGCAAAGCAGACAGAGCAAGACCTTGGTTCAGGAATTGGAAAGGTGATTCCTGACACCACGGTAAGCTCTTCTCACCCAGGCCCCCTGGTGAAGGTGAAGGTAAAGGCAAAGGTAAAAGTGGTGGGGGTGGAGGTGGAAGGAAAGATAGAGGCTTTCAGAAAGAGAGCCATTCTGAGAGGGGCCACACGCCACCTGGGATACAATTGCCTGTCCCAGTAAACGGGGCCCCAGATACTGCCACAGTCCCCAGCACCCACGGACGTATCTAAAGACCCTGGTTTAGGCAGACAGAGCAATCTGATCCCACAGCAGGCAACAGCCTAGTATCTTAGAAAGTTCATATTCTCTATCTGGTTTCCAACTTCTGTTCCACAATTTACAAAGCTTGTGGTCTTCTATGAGCCTCAGTGCCCTCTTCTGTAAAATGATTGTTTCCTTTTGAGGAAAGACTAATTCATGTCTATAAAGCATGTAGTATACCTAGTACATGGTTGGCTTTCATGCAAAGAGGACAACAGTCTTTTGTTAGGACTGGAAATGGACCTCTTACTTGGTCCTCACTGTGATCCTACCAGGTTCTGGCTTGAAAATTCTCACTGGTCTTCACAACCCAGCAGAAATCCTTCCCAGGCAGTGCATGGAGTCCAGACCCAGGATCCCCAGGAAACCTGGGTTCAGTTCCTACTTCTTTCACAGACATGCTGTGTGACCATGGCCTCCCGCCTTTGTCTTTCTGGGCCCCAGATCTTCTACCTGGCATTGAGGTTAATAATCTTCAAGGGCTTAATTTCATTTATTCCTTATGCCTACCTGAGGCAATAAGCATTACTGATATTCCCTTTCCACAGATGTGGAAATTGAAGCACAGAGAGGTTAAGTGAAGTGCCTACGGTTATTTATTCATCTACTGAGAGGTAGGGTAGGGATTCAGTTCCAGGTCTGTCCAACTTCAGAGTCATTCTGTAGGCCCTTAGAGCAGAGGTGATAAAGCGGAGAGTGGGCATGCTGGCCTCCAGATAGGCTGGCCAGTCTGTGACAAATTTGAGGAGAAGGCAAAGGACTGAAAGCTGGAAGGAGGTGGGAAATTCTTCTTTATCAAGGCAGCTGCAAGGACAGGAGTTGGTGAGGGTTGGAGGCAGTGGGGGAAATGGGCCAGAGCCAAGACTGTGGCCAGGGGCAGGGAGCAGAGAGGCCTGGAAAGTTTTGGGATATTTATGGGCACAGAAAGGAGCTCTGGTCTGAAGTTTGAACTCCTGCATGGAAGAGAACTTGAGTTGGGGCAGGGTCTGACATAAGGTTGTAAGTCTGATGGTCGCATGATCCTTGTATATTTATAGCCCTATTTCTCATCATTGCATGATCTGCAGACATGTATCAGTAAGTCCTCACAGTGATCTGGGGAGGGAAATAGGGAAGTGAGGCCTGTCTTCCAAGCTCTGTGGGGCAGGTATTGGGTGGGAGTGGAGGAATAAGAGACTTGAGCCATTTGCTACAGCCAACCTCAGGCTCTCCAGCTAGAGTTGTAGGGGTGCGTCTTGTCTAGTGCTCAGCTGCTCTGTTGCTTGAATTCTCTCCACCAGAGAGGTTGAAAGCAGGCAGCCACCAGTCAAATTTGTACTTTGTTTGGCCTGCAAAGGGTGTTTAAAAATTTGTAGTTAGTATTTAAAAACAGGGAGATGTGGAACACCTAGGGTTCTCATCCACAGCTGCTGGGTGTGGGTACTGCCTCTTTGAAAAACTGCTTGATATTATCTCCTAAAAGCTGAGCACACACATGCATGTCCAGTGACCCGGCAATTCCACTCCTAAGTATACATCCAACAGAAATGTGAGCACATGGGCACCAAAAGTCATGTATAAAAATGTTGAAAGCTGGATGACTTTAACAGACCCAAATTGAAAACAGCCCAAAGGCTCATCAACAGTAGAGTGGATAAACACATTGTGGTATATTAACACAAAGGAATGCTATACAATGAGGATGAAACAGCTGCATGAATGACGGGCCAGAGGATAGCCAGTCCCTTCCAAACTCTGCCTCCAGCCGCATGTCAGTGAAGCTCCAGAAACAAGCCATGTGCCTTGTCCCTGCCAATTCCCATTTTTAGACATCAGATCATTCTAAGTTATCCTCTCTTTGCTTTTTTTCATATTAAAACATGGTAATGCAGAAGATAATGGTGAAAATACACTGAACATTTATAAAAGATAAAAATGAATCACTACACACTTCCGGAAAATGGACAAAAGTGCTTCAAGTTACCTCAAAGTTTGCAAAATGCCCCATTGGAGTAACTAAAAATGACCAATACTAGAATTGGTAGAAGCTGAGAATATTCATTGCATTCATTATCTATTGCTGCATGACAGATTGCCCCCAAACTTGGTACTTTTAAACAAGTTTCTAAGGATCAGGAATCCAGAAAAGGTTTAGCTGAGTGGTTCTGGCTCCAAGTCTCTCCTGGGATTGTGATCAAGCTGTTGGCAAGGGCTGCAGCCCCTGGTGTCTTGCCTGGGGCAGGTGGATCCACTTCCAGGTGCACCTATGGGGATGTTGACAGGCTAGAAGGAGGTCACAGTTCCTCCAAGGTGGGTCTTTCTGAAGTTCACATGGTGACTGGTTCCCTCAGAGCAAGATCAGAGAGAAATGGCCCAAGAGGAAAGCCTCAGTCTTTCATTACCTAATGTCAGATGTGACATGCTACCACCACTTCTCCCCTGTGCTGTTAGTCACACAGACTGACCCTCCTCATACAGCGTGGGAGAGGACTACACAGTGTGGGCTGGTGTGGAGGTGGGGGAGGGGAGAGGTCATTAGGGGACATCTTGCATGCTAGCTAGAGCATTGTTTTTCTTAACCAAATTGTCTTTTGGACCAAACTAATATCATCCAACATGTTTTCAGCACAGTTACCTTTAACCAGCTCACAGATGGTTTTGGAATCTGAATGGAAACATGATCTCCCTGTTTCCTGTGTGTGGCAAACTGAATGATGGTCCCCGAAGAGTTTCAGGTGCTGGACCTTTGAGTATTCTCTTAAATGGAAAAGGGACCTTTTCAGATGTGATTACATTAAATATCTTAAAATGGGGAGATTATCCTGGATTATCCAGATGGGTCTTAAATGCAGTTGCAATGTCTTTATAAAAGAGGGCAAATACTACACTGCTAGCTTTGAAGAAGAAGGAAGGGGCCATGAGCCAAGGAATGCAAGAAAAGCAGTTCTATAAGCTGAAAAAGGCAAGGAAAGGGATTCTCCCCTAGGGCCTTAGGAGGCAGCCAGGCCCTGGCACATTGACTTTTGGTCAATAAACTGCTTTGACTTCTGACTTCCAGAACTGTAAGAGGATATATTTGTGCTGTTTCAAACCACAAGTTCATGTTAATTTGTTATAGTGGCAAAAGCAAACTAATACACTGTGTCATGCCATTGGTGCAATCAGGGAAGGGTAGAGCAAGAACTAAACAGTAAGTCTGGTTCCAGAGCTGCAAGTATGGGAGGTTTCAGGCTCACATGTGCCTTTGTTGTTAAAGGGAGAAGGGACTTCATGCCAAAGCCCCAGTCCTTTGGGAGGGTAATGACATTGATTTCAGGCGTGTTCAAGTGAGGCCTGGTGAGTTAAATCTCCTGGGTTAGAATCCACCAGTCATTAGCTGGGTGACCTTGAGCAACTTATGCAACCCTTTCTTCTTGATTCTGACTACATACAAGAATTACCTCGAGCCCCTCAAATCCCACCCATAGCCAGGCCCCATCCCTGGAGACTGATTTAGGTGGTCTGAGGTAGGGCTTGGGCAGCAGTGTTTTTTTAAGCCCCCTGTGATTCTAACATGCAGCCAGGCAGACGAGCACCTTTCTAAGTGTGTTCCTCCTCCGCCAACATAGAAATTAAAGTTAGGTTACCTGTCACATGGGTGTGATGCGCCTTAAATGAAGTAATCCAATGTGAAGTGCAGAACACATAGTAAGCTCTCAATAAGTATTATTATTATTATACTTCAATCCAGACAGATGGATCATCCTTCAGTGTCCCCTACTCTGTCCCCTTTAAAAATTTTCAGGATAAATAGGAAGGCTCAGTAGATCACTAACACGGTGACATTTAGGTACACCTAAACCAAGCATTTTAAACTCCAGGGAGACACAAGACAGAGTCCACTCAGATGTTTCTGCAGCACTTTGGGGTTCCAGGGCCATACGCAAAGCACATGGCAGGTCCCTGATTCCGTGTCACTTAGGTGACTGTCTTGCTCTCAGCATGCCTAAAGTTGTACCCATTTACACGTATTTGGAAAGGGAAAAGCCTGTCTGGCAGGCAAACCAGAATTTTTAAAATCTTTTAGATTTTAAGACCAAGAGCTTGATTTACTATAGACTTGAGGGCTCCCTGAAAGGGTGGCCTTGGAGTTTTCAAAAATAATTGCTTTTCCTACTTCCGTGCTCCTCAATGCTTTTCAGCCAAAGGGAGAAACAGTCTCTATCTCAAGAGAGCTTTGGGAGTGGAACCCAGGGGCTGCAAGCCCTGGGAGCAGGAATCAAGGGGACACACAGGGGCAGACCCAGGTTTTGTGGGGTCTCACTCCTATGCTTTGGGGGGGCGTTGGGGGCAACGAGCTCTCTGCCACACCTTGCTGCTCTGTGAGGCAGAGAATGTTGATGATTAGTATAAGAATAGAATGAATAAACAGGTTTTCAAACTTGTATAGTGAATAAACACCCCCATTCAATACATTTCCTTTGTCCCCTTTACTGAGATCTCAGGCTTCGGTGTAATGCAATCTGAGATTCTGGCCTGGTCAGCTGGAGCATTGTTCTGTCCCTTATTACCCCTCCTCTCTGGTTTTCTTTTTGCTTGAAAATAAGATTGAATTATCTTTTCTCTCCCTCTGGGTGTTGAGAACGGGAAGTCTGTTAAGTAAACATACCTAATAAAGGCACTGATCCGTCCCCAGCAGGCAGTAATTGCACCTCCAAGACCACAAATGTAGGGATATCGAGGCAGAGACTTAGGTTCTGCTCTCCCCTGCCCTGCCAGGGTCTCTGATTGGCTTGGCTCTCCCTGGGATTCAGCCTCCTGTCCTGTACAACTAGTGTAACAATACTATTAATTCATATTCTTCCCACCACAGTGATGAACTCCTTTGGCTTAAGTTGTAAATGACAGTGCAGGACTCACTTTTAGCTGAAAGGCATTAATACCGCCCTATGGGTGCCTTAGTATGAAATGATCACCTACCAGTTTGTAAGCAGAAGATGTCTTAGCCTGTGAGGACCCAGCCCCACTCTGGTTTCCCCACCCCTGCCCTGGGACCCCCAAGACCTGCTGTGACTCAGCACGTGGGGAACACATACACAGCCCAGGAAGGTGACACAAGAACCAGGCACAGAAACATTAAAGCCAAGCTCTGTGCTTACTAGTCACTGCTGGATGTTCTGTTGTTCAGTTTCTCAGTGTTTGAATAGCATGCCTAGGCCCCTCCATAGTCTCAGGCACCAATCAGTCCTGGTACTGTCTCTCCACGGAGCCTATCTCACCCTTTACACACCAGAGTAGGGCCAGCTTCTGGAAGAACTTGGAGTGCAGCTGGAAATGAAGCCATTGCCCAGCCAGGGACCCCTGATCTGTCTACCCACCCTCCTTTCTAGTAGGTCATCTGATCTAAAAAGTTGGCCCCGGGAGGACTGGTCTGGCAGGCTGGCCTCCAGACCCCATGAAGGACTCTCCCCAGGCCAGGTGGAGCCCAGGCTCCCTGGTTCCTGCCCCTTGTCCCCTGATGTGCCCCCCTCCTCAGGGACATCACCAGACACCTTAGCCCTGGGGCAGAGCCGAGGCCTGCAGAGTGGTAGAGACCCCTGGAGCTTCCTCAGGGGCACAGAGGGTGGTGGTGGGCAGCCCAGCAAGCAGCTCCTTTTAACCTGGCTTGAAAGCGGGCTTCTGTGTAAGATTTCTTTGAGTCTGTGATCTAGTCCAGTCCCCTCTCTGTGTGGTCATTGGGCCCAGAGGGTACAAAGCGAGGCAGGCAGCCTGGCATCCCAGCCTCTGGCCCTCCGGCCCAGGGCTGGGCCCACTACATCTCATGTCCTCTCGCATCTCTGCTTCTATCCCCCCCATGCTGCAGACATACCACTCTGTCGAGGGGAAGGAATATTCCATGATCTGTAATCCACATGGTCAGATGTACGACAGTGGGAAATACCTTTCTTTTACCAACCCTGGGGCAGTTCACCAACCTGTAGCTGATGCCTTACCAGGATGCAGCATATCTGAAAAGCTGTTTAAACACCGGACACCAGGTGTTTAAACGTCTAATAGCTTGCCTAGTGCTTAATAGTTGGCATTCAAAGCCAGGCTTTGCAGTTCCAAATGCACCATGTACAAGTGACTCATGCTCTCTCTCCGAGCCTCAGTGTCCTTATCTGTCGAGTGAAGTTGATAATACTTGTCCTCACAGCAGAGTTGGAAGGGTCTGTGGCAGAGCTTCTTAGTCATCCCCCAGTGTCTGTCTTCCCATAGAGTCACAGAAATGAAAGCCTCCAAAAAAGACTACATATCTCAGCCTCCCTTGCAGCTAGTTGTACCGTGTGACTAATTCTGGCCAGTTGTAAAAGTGAAAGTGCTTGGGGGCAGTTTGGGGGACCCTTCCTTAAGAGCAGCTGGCATACATACTTTATCATTCTGTCTTCCTCCCTCCCTCCATCCTAACCCCTGAAATACGGATGTGGTAGCTGCCATCCTGAACCATGATGCTGAGTTCTCACTGCTAAGGATGACCATGTGGTGAACTGGAGGGGACGTAAATCCTTGAGGACCATTTATTACCTCCTGGGACTGCTTGTTTCTAGGCTTCTTTTACTTCTTAGAATCAACTTCCATTTTGTGTAAGCCACTGTTACTCAAGTCTCTGTTACTCAGAGTTAAAGCTAATCCTCACTCATTGCCATGTGATCTGGTGAAATTAAATGGTTCTCATCTAACCAAGTCATCCTCCTGCCTTAAAGGCCTTTTGTGCCTCCTCAAGATAGCACTGAAACTCCTTAGCATGTAAGACCCTTCAGGACCAGTCCCCTCTTGGTGCTCCAGCCTCATCACTCTCATTTCTCCTCAGCCTGCCCACCAGACCCCAGGCACCAGCCAGTAGGGGCTACTCACAGCTCCCAAGCCACCCAAGTCACCTCTTACCTTTGGCCTTTTGCACATGAAACTCTGTCTATTAGAAATGCCATATTTCCCCTGGCCTTTTATAGCTTTCAAGATTGAGATCAAGTATCACCACCTCCAGGAAGCCTCCCCAGACATTCTCAGGCTTTGTTTTGTTCCATTTCTTATTTCTCTTTGCTCTCTTGGCACCACAAGGCTTTCTCCTACTTTGGGAGAGAAACATACCAGTTTCCATGTCTGTCTTCCTCTCAAGTCTGTGAGCAGCCTGAGAACAGGGATGGTGTCTGGTTCATCTCTGCACTGCCAGGGCCTCTGCAACAGGGTCAACAGTAACAGGAGCTGAGTGAAGGAAGGGTGGATGGCAGATACTTGTTAATGTGGAAGCTGCTGGGCCTTTGGTGAAGGGCTGTGCTGAGGAATAGTCTTTAAAGCAGAAAGAACACCTGGAGACAGAGGTGAAAGGCAAGGGCATGCTGAGCAGCTGCTCATCCCTGGTCCTCTGCTCTGGTCACCTAGGAGCTGGATGCTGCTGGACCCCATGTGTGTTCGCTGGCAAATCTGCACTCTGCGTCACTGACGGTAGGGCAGCTTTTCAGGCTCACTTAATCAGCAAATGTGTGAAGACACATTTGGCCTCTGTCAACACTTTGTACTTCAACCATTGCCTCATTATGCCATAACCAGAGCTGATAACAGGATGGGAAAGTTAATTGACTAGATTTCACAACTACATGCATTCGGGGTCCGAAGTTTGTGGGCCAAGGACTCTGCTAACAATGAGAATTATTTAACAGCTTTATTAAAGCTTTCTGGGGCCCTGATCCCCCAATGGCTCAATTGTCCATCTCATATCTCCTCATTTTACAGTGGGAAAGACTGAGGCCAGGAGAGAAGAAGTTGCCCAAGATCATATGGAGAGGCTGGAGTAGGGACTGGGCCCTAGGCTCAGAGACCCAGCTCCAAGCTCTTTGCACACCTCTGCCCTGTTCTGTTTTCTGTCCAATAATTAACTGTGGATTTAGATAAAGACATGGGCCTTTTGGTCCCAATCATGAAGGTCATGAAGGGACAGATGTATTACAGAGCCTTTGAACCAGGGAGACACATTCTACTGGTTTGGTAACATAATCTTTTCTTATTTTTTAAACTTTTTATTATGAACAAATTTAAATATACTGCAAAACAGAGAGTATAATGACCCCCTTGTGCCCATCACCAACCAGCTTCAGTAATTATCAACACCCACTGTTCTTGGTAACATAGCTTGAAACCATCTTTCTCTTTAAGAAACTAGAGGAGACACACAATACAACCAGAATGATCTTTTCAAATTACAAACTGGATCATGTCAACTCACCCCCTTCTTTCTCAAAACTCCAGACAGATCATGTGCTATGGTTAAGGAAGGCAGAGGAAGACAGAGTAGGGCCCCACCTCACCCTAGACAGCCTAGCTCTGGACTTCTTTTATTTGAGAGAAAAATACACTTCTCTCTTGTTTGAGCCACATTTGTTTAGGGCTTTCTCTTACATCAGTAGTTCACAATCATGGCTGCATACTGTGATCAATAAAGGAGCTTAAAACAAAATGGCAGAAATCAGACAACTTGGTCCCATGCTGATGGATTCTGATTCAGTTGGTCTGAAATGTTGCTCAGGCATTAGTGTTTCAAAAAGCTGCCCAGGTGATGTTAACATGCAACCATAGTTGATAACAACTATTTAACTATATATATCTGAATTAATTCTGATGCATGGCTCAGCTGAAAAGTTATCTTCTGAGAAGTCCCAGGCAGGAGGAGCTCAGGGCTCCCTCCTCTGTGCTTCCACAGAGCTTGGTGGTGACCTCTAGTAGAGGTGTGTGGCAGTGTTATTGCATTAGTTTTATTAGAGTTGGGTTTCTCACTGTCCTCTGAGCAACTCCAGAGTGGGACCATGTTAGATTTCTCTAGGATGCCTGGCCCAGGAGTTAGAGTTCTTACCTGGGCCTCCAGACCTGCATGGTCTGGTCCCTGCCCATGCTTTCAGCCTCTTTCAGAGGCATTCATCCTTTTGCTCTTCCTGCCTATGCCCTACTTGTCTTCTCCCAACTCCTGACTGCACCATGACCTCTCTCACCAAAGACCTGTGCATATACCTGCCCCCTTTACCTGCAACTTTAACCTGCCTCTTCATTTAGTCTGCTCGTACTAGTCCTTCAGATCTCATCCTCTACCTATGCTACTCAAAACGTGGTCTTGGCACTAGCAGCATTGGCATCACCAGGCAGCTTGTTAGAAATGCAGAATATAAACCCTTTATAGTTAGTTACCAAGGTTTAACAAGATCCCCAGAATGTGTCATATGCTAAGATGGGCAGTTCTGACTCACAGATATGATCGGGGTGGAGGCAAGGAATGGGGTTGCTATAACCAGAAGAGAGGAATGCTGGGCAAACATAATTATAGTATGTGAGCATAAAGAAAGGCTATTGACCACTTGGCCTGTTCCAGCTAGGCCAGAGGCCATAAACTCAATTGCCTACAAAGTCTATAAACGAGTGAATCAATGTAGTAGTTTTCCATTTGTTAGCTGTTACAAATTATTGCAAACTTAGTGGCTTAAAACAGCCCAAGCCTGTTATCTTTGGTTCTTGGGGCTCAGAAGTCTGAAATGGGTGTCACTGGGCAAAAATCAAGGCTTTGGCATAGCTGCATTTCTTCTGGAAACAATAGGGGAAAATTGTTTCTTTGCCTTTCCCAGCTGCTTGCATTCTTTGACTTGTGGCTACATCACTCCAACCTCTACTTCTGTCATCATATCTCCCTCTCTGATCTTGGCATTCCTGTCTCCCTTCTCTAAGGACCTTTGTGATTACATTGAGCCCAGCCATACAATCCAGGATAGTCTTGCTGCCTCAAGATCCTTAACTGCACATATGCATGCACTGCCACATGCTCTGCTTCCATCCCAGTGGCATCTGTGTGCTTATGTGAGAGCCTGGATTCTAGAGTCCCGAACTCAGACACTTATCTCTTGTGACCTTGGGCAAGTGTCTTTCCCTTTCTGGATCTCAGTTTCCTTAACTATAAGTCGAGGTGCAGAGGGAAAGAGGAAGCAAGCCAGGCAAGCAGAAGGGAAGCCAAGTTTATGGTGAAAATACTCGGGGCTGGTTTGGTTTGACAATGTTCAGACTTTGGTCATGTTCACAGAGTGTAAATTTCAGAGTATAGAGGTTCACTTAGCAGAAAAAGAGGGAAAAAAGATGTATTTTGGTTTGTATTTGTATATTTTTATATGTTCATTCTCTGCAATTCTCTCAGGATCTTTATCCAGTCTTCCATCTTCAGGTCAAATGCAGAGGAGAGGCACCTGTTATGCTCAGTATAGAATAAACGCCCAGTGCAGCTCACTATCTCTTTGTTTGGAATCTGTCTGATCCATTCATTATCTCAGAGCCTGGAATCTTCTCCAGTAATTTCCCAGACATATAAGGCTCCAAAATGCTGAAGGATAGAATTAGCTCATCTTCCCCTGCCAGGCAAGTGTAAACACATCCCTGGGTGACATTCCTTGATGACAGTGACCTGACTACAGCTTGTGTTATCTCACCATTTTCCCTTAAGTCTTTTTTGTCCAAACATTCACAGTGGCTCCAGGCCCAACATCCATTATAGAGGCCTGGATCTTTATTGCCAATTAAAATGCTAAACCCAAAACATTCCTGAAAAATAGATAGCCCTCTGCAAAAATAATTTGCACATTTTACCCTGAGCCGCTTCACATTATTCCTTCACTCCAAACCATAAATGTCAAGCATTATGGAAGGTATTTATTTTTTTATTTTTTAAATGCTTTTACAAATGCCCTGCAACAGGACTACTTCAGTGCAAACTGATGGCAGTCACAGCTTATGAAGTGTCAAGGGTGGGAGCGCTGAATGGAATCTAGATACAGACAAATTATAGTCAGCGAAGTTTGTACTCTGTGAACATGATCAAAATCCCTTTTTCTGAAAACCGTCTGTGAAGGAGTCATAGAATACCCACTTAGGCCAGTGCTTCCCAAATATAGCTGCACATCAGAAGCATATGGGGAACTTAAAAATTCCTGGATCTCAACCAACATCTAATAATTTAGAATGTCTTAAAGTAAGACCCAGGGCAATTATAATTTTTTCTGACACTCCCCAGGCAATTCTGACACACAGCTAAGTTTGAGAGTCATTTGTCTAGGTCAGTCCTGATGTGGCACTCTCCTTTATGGGATTTCCCCAAATGGTTGTCCATCCTTCCTTAAACTCCTCCAGCGACGGGAGCTCACTGCCTTTCCAGGCAGCCCCTCCTATCCTTCCTCAGCCAGCTCTGCTCTGTCAGGAAGTTCCTCCTCTGCCCCTGTAACCTCTGCCCCCAGTGGCTTTGACCTCTAGGACCCTGCAGACGTGTCTGCATTACCATTTAGGGATCTGGAGCATACAGCCTTGCCCTTTGAGTTCTGAGGGGTGGGCACCCCCAGTTTCTTCAGTTGCTCCTCACAAGACACAGCCTTCAGCCTCTCCCCAAGAGGCCACTGCCTTTCACACCTGCCACAGCTTTCCAGGTGATCTGACCCCATGAAGACTGATATTTGGCTTTGTCATGGATCTATCAATGAAGCCTGCCTCTATCAATGAAGCCTGTTAATGATTAACCAAATAATCATTAAATCAATACACTATTGAGTGCCATGCCACGTGCCCAAGGTGTTGCCAGGCTGGCCATGCGCTATGGGGGAGGTAAAAGGGACTTTGCAAGGGGCTAAATGGTTACTGGGGAAGCCAGAGAGAAACATGAACATAGATGGGGTAAGATGCATGATACAGTGCTTTTAGTAAAGAACTAAATTTTGTAGCAAGGACCATGAACATCCTAAGACTGACATGGCACAAGAGATTCCATAGAGATGTAGCTTAAAAAATTATGTTCAAGCAGGAAAATGTGAACACTATTTGGAGAGGTGGGGATTTAATGCAAACAATTGAGTGCTGACAGGTTGTCTGGAAGGGCTGGGGAGAGAAGCAGGGAAAGCTAGACCTTCAGTACTGACTCCCAGAGCAAGATGGACATGGCCCACTAGCCTCGTTACAATTGGAGGCCTCCTCTGAGCTATCTAGCTGCAGCTACACTCCTGCAGCCATGATTCAAAGAGCAGGTAGCTGGAGTCAAGTAGCTGCAGCCACAGCTGCCACCCCACACCCAGAAAGGGGAAGAAGGGATGAGGAATGCCAACACACAAAATTCTCACTTTGTGCTGTTGTTTAGTGGTGCCCCAAAGGGGCAGGACAACCCCCTCCACCTTCCACATCTGACAGGGGTACTACTTATTGGCAGTACCTAGACCACATCCAGAACTCTCCTGCAAATAAGGCTGGGAAACTTAGCTCTTAGTATTGCAACAGACCTCTCCAACCACAGGGAGGATGCGGTGGCGGTGGAGTGCGTGGGAAAGGCGTGGTCAGGACACCCATCCTAGCAGCCTAGCCTGTATGGCAACAAGAGGGAGACACGCCAGTGGCTGACCTACCGTGGAATTCTATGCCACCTTGAGAGTATGATGTTGTCTTTTAATTAATGACATGAGAAAATGTTCATACTAAGTGGCTAAGTAAAAAAAAAATAATAATAATAAAAAGGAGGCAACAAAATAGAGTTCACCATAATGATATCATTTTTATTCAAAGAAGTTTTGAAAAATGCGGAGAAAAAATACTGGCAAGATGAATGACAACTTTTAGGTGAAAGATTGAAGGGGATTTTTTTCTTCTTTCATCCTTTTCTGTGTTTTCCGAAGCCTTCTACATTGTGCATCAAGTCTTTTTAGGACAAATAAATAAAAACAACCGCATTTTAAAATGCACAAATATGGAATCTGAAAGGAACTGGGAAAAAGAGCCCAGAAGGTGGAACACTGACAGAAATTATGACACATCCAGTGAACCAAGAGGGAAAAAAGAGAGAGAGAGGAGTCTAAAAGAGGGTAAGGAGAGGCGCAAGGGCTGCAGCCCAAGGAAGTGCATTGAGCGGGAGGGAGAAATGCAAACATAACGTGGGTCCGTCTCCTCTTGCTGTCTGGCCTGCTCGGGAAGGCCCACGCATCCCAGGCCCCCAGGCCCTCAGTTCTAAGCAGAGATGAGAGGAGGAGCGCTTGCGTGGTCCGGGATACGGGTGGGGCGCTGGGATATGGGAAAAGCGGGGCGCTGGCTCTCCGCCGGCTCCGGGAGGGTGCGGCGGACTTGACCGTGGGCGGGAGACGGCGGCGCCCCAGACGCAGGCGGAGCCTCACTGGAGGCTGGGCCTCCGGGCAGCGCGAAGCAGGCATCTGTGGCTAGTAGCTGGTGGGAGACTGGACTAGTCCTGAGGAGAGCCTGGACGGGCACCTGAGCCGAGCCTGCCGCAGGTAACTAAGGAGCTCCTCGCCTAGCGACCCCCCACCCACGCCCCCACCCCCACCCCGCCACCGCCGCGGCAGACCGCAGCTCCCTTCCTGAAGATGGAGGTTTCCTTCCTGGGTCTCGGCTTCCGCATTAGGGGCCGGCCTTTCCTCCCGCGCACTGTAGGACCCCTCTTCGTGCTTTCCCATCCTCACCCCGCACCCAGGTCCCAGGGTGGCACATGGTGGGCTCCGAGGATGCAACACCCGCCCTACCTTCCCAGTTAGCTGGACCTCATCGTTTCCCACCCCCACCCCCGGCCCACACCAGCCGAGAAACCCTGAGTGGAGAGGCGAGAACACGTTCTCCCACTCCCCAGAAAGGGTTAGGGGCACCACTAGGTCGATGACCTAGAAGGTCTGGTCCTTGGCACAGTGGGCACTAATACAGGGAAGGTAAGAAATTGCCCAAAGTTGGGACAAAACACAACCTTGGGGCTGTGGAAATACTGCTGAGGCTCCTATTCTTACTTGCTGTGTGTTCTTGGTGAGTTCTTGAACCTCTCTGACCCCCAGCCACCGCCTTCTGCTCAGATCACGTGGGGGCTGCTGGGAGGCTTAGTGAGTTAATGCTGAGATAGCCTGCAAACTGTAGTGTGGTGCACTGTGAGCGGTGATCTTCAAGTGGAGGCACCAGCACAGACCCCATATAGGTGCCTAGAGAAGGAACAGCCTTGGATTGGCACGAGATTTGTCAGCCTCGGTCTGTGACCCCGTCTCCCACCTGTTTAGCCCCTCCACCCCCACCCCATGGATTGGTGACCCCCTCTTACTCATACCTCCCCTTGAACCTCTCCCTTCTGATACCCAGCCTGTTGGACCCAAGGCTTCTTTGGTCCCGGTGTGGAACAGCTCTAAGCAGAGTGAAACCTGAGTGCCCTCCTGATAGGTCTGCTGGCTCAGCTTTCCCCCAAGGGAGGACTTACCTGGGCTGCACTGATTTGTATGGGGCCTTGGTTACCTGCTGAGTTCTTTGCTTCTCTCCCTGCCCAGTGGCAGAGGGTGGGTTGTACTGGGGCTGGAAGTGGGTGGGGACAGTAGGGCAGGTATGATTCCTTTCTACTGCTGGGTGGGACAAGACTCAAGTGAGACAGAAAGGGCAGAGGGATTCATCTCCTGACTGGAGAGTAATTGCTTCAGTGAATCTAGGAATTTTATACACCATTGAAATTTCATTGAATACATTTTATATACTGTTTAAATTTTATGGTTGTTGTTTTAATAAAGTCTACAACATGTTCAGAGTTGTAGGCCAGAATAAAGAGGCCCTCCTTTCCCGCTGCTGCTGCATTTGCTGTGCTCCTGGGAGGCTGGGACCTCTGCGTGGGGGTGGGCTAGGCTGGTTTCTAAGGGTGCCACCAGATCTGATGTCCTGGGTGGAATTCCCCCTGCTTTTTATGTGCATGACTCCATTCAACAAAGCCCCATGAGGCATTTCACATATGAGGACACTCAGGCCCAGAGCTGAGGTGAGGCAAGCCCCTCTCACAGGGAACAGCTCTGTCTTCCCTTTGGTTTCTATTCCTTTCTTAGGTCGTTTCTTCAGCAGCCTGGAAATGTTGACATTTCCTCAGTATTATCATTCAGTAACTAGCTACCGAACAGCTGTTCTACAGTGGGCATACTTTGAGGCATCCAGGCCATAGCAGTGAATGAATGAGGCAAAGAAAAGCCCTACCCTCCTGGAACTAATGTTTTATTGGCGAAAGGTAGACAATAAACATTTAAGCATGTAAACATATCACTTGGTGTGTATGCCAGATGGGGAAAAATAAAGTATGGGGGCTGGAAAGTGCTGGGGGTGAAAAGAACTGAAATTTTACAAAGTGTGGTCCAGGAAGACCTTGCTGAGAAGGTGATATTCGAGCAAAGACCCAGAAGAGGTCAGGATAGATGGGACATGATGAAGTAGGACTAGAGAATTCTTCAGGGCCTTTGTACCCCTTACAATCCAGGTTTTTAGAGGTGACACCCTTTTATGCTAGAATCTTGAGACATCTGAGCCGGTGGGCCTGTAGGAGACACCCTGCCCCCTCTCACCTGTTCACTCTGGTTGTTCCTGTCCCTCCCCAGAGCAGTCAGTATGCTGCGCTTCCTGGGACCCCGGCTGCTTTGCCTCCGTGGCAGGACTGCCCCATACTCCTCAGCAGCTGCCCTCCCAAACCCCATCCTGAACCCAGACGTCCACTACAACCAGCTCTTCATCAACAATGAGTGGCGAGATGCGGTCAGCAAGAAGACCTTCCCAACAGTCAACCCCACCACTGGGGAGATCATCAGCCATGTGTCTGAAGGGGACCGGGATGATGTGGATCTGGCCGTGAAAGCAGCCCGAGAGGCCTTCCGCCTGGGGTCTCCATGGCGCCGGATGGATGCCTCAGAGCGAGGCCGGCTGCTGAACCACCTGGCTGACCTAGTGGAGCGGGATCGGGTCTACTTGGCCTCACTGGAGACCTTGGACAATGGAAAGCCTTTCCAGGAGTCTTACGCCTTGGACCTGGATGAGGTTATCAAGGTATACCGCTACTTTGCTGGCTGGGCTGACAAGTGGCACGGCAAGACCATCCCTATGGATGGTGAGCATTTCTGCTTCACCCGTCATGAGCCTGTTGGTGTCTGTGGCCAGATAATCCCGTGGAATTTCCCCTTGGTCATGCAGGGCTGGAAGCTTGCCCCGGCGCTTGCCACTGGCAATACTGTGGTCATGAAGGTCGCAGAGCAGACCCCCCTTTCTGCCCTGTATTTGGCCTCCCTCATCAAAGAGGCAGGCTTTCCCCCTGGGGTGGTGAACATCATCACTGGCTTCGGCCCCACAGCAGGAGCAGCCATTGCCCAGCACATGGATGTTGACAAAGTTGCCTTCACTGGTTCCACTGAGGTGGGCCACCTGATCCAGAAGGCAGCTGGCGATTCCAACATCAAGAGAGTCACCCTGGAGCTGGGTGGGAAGAGCCCTAGCATTGTGCTGGCTGATGCTGACCTGGGCCATGCCGTGGAGCAGTGCCACGAAGCACTGTTTTTCAACATGGGCCAGTGCTGCTGCGCGGGTTCCCGGACCTTTGTGGAAGAATCCATCTATGATGAATTTCTTGAGAGAACCGTGGAGAAAGCGAAGCAGAGGAAAGTTGGGAATCCCTTTGAGCTGGACACACGGCAGGGACCCCAGGTGGACAAGGAGCAGTTTGAACGGATTCTGAGCTACATCCAGCTTGGCCAGAAGGAGGGAGCAAAACTTCTCTGTGGCGGAGAGCGTTTTGGAGAACGTGGTTTCTTCATCAAGCCCACGGTCTTTGGTGGTGTGCAGGATGACATGAGGATCGCCAAGGAGGAGATCTTTGGACCTGTGCAGCCCCTGTTCAAGTTCAAGAAGATTGAGGAGGCGATTGAGAGGGCCAACAACACCAGGTATGGCTTGGCTGCTGCTGTGTTCACCCGGGACCTAGACAAGGCCATGTACTTCACACAGGCGCTCCAAGCTGGGACAGTGTGGGTGAACACCTACAACATTGTCACCTGCCACACACCATTCGGAGGGTTTAAGGAGTCTGGCAGTGGGAGAGAGCTGGGAGAGGATGGGCTTAAGGCCTACACAGAGGTGAAGACAGTCACCATAAAGGTTCCTCAGAAGAACTCGTAAGAACGGCTACCATGGACACTCATCTCCAGTCCAGTGATCATTCCACAATCATCTAGACTTGCGGTTGCCAAACATTTTTCAGCCATGGATCTCCTTTTTTTGTTCCAAAGGAACTATTAGAAGGAATCTCAAGAAACAGAGCAATTAAAATCAGAGCTGCTTTAGCTAAAGCAGGATGGAGCCTGTCCACCTGTGCCCAGCCCCAGCTTGGGGGCCCTGCATTACTTCCATGAAACCTTAGGAGTATCTGGAAAATAGGTTAAAAACCACTGATCTCTGCAATGGCTTTTAGTTTTTCCTGCTGATCCAAGGACTTCCAATGGAAGGACTTCCCAGTGGATTAACTGATGGCTTGGTGGATGGACGCAGGTTAGATATAGGATTAGAAGGCATTAGGAGTTTGAAATGAAGTGGATATTCACCCCATTCTTCATTGACTTAACCTAAAAATCAAGGGTGCTTTTCCTTTTCTAACTGATAGTAGTTGGCTGTTTTGCTTGCTTGCCCTTCATTTTGCTATTGATTTTCCTTGATTTGAGGGAATAGGTGGGCAAAGAATAATGCATTTACATAACCATTCCCTTAAAATAAACTTAAACAACCCAAATATCCATCAGCCACTGAGTGGATAAAAAAAAAGTTTCCATGGAATATTCCTCATACTATTCAGCCATAAAAAAGGAATGAGGTGCTGGCACATGCTACAACATGGACAAACCTTGATGCTGAGTGAAAGGAGCCAGACTCACAAAGCCACCTAGCATGCGATTCCTTTTATACGAGGTATCCGGAATAGGCAGACCCAGAGACAGAAAGTGTATTAATGGCTGTCAGGGGCTGGAGAAGGAGAGAATGGGGAGTAACTGCTAATGGAAATGGGATTTCTTTTGGGAAGTTTTTGAAATGTTCTGAAATTGAATAGTAGTGATAGTTGCACAGCTTTGCAAATATACTAAAAAGTACTAAATATCACTGATTCACTTAAAATAGTGAATTTTGTAATATGGTAATTAATTTCAATTAAAAGTTAAATTAAAAAATTGATACACTCTGTTTGCAAGTCAATTTTATATCAACATTCTCTTGCTGGTGAACATTTTAGAGTCCTGGAGATGGTAGGGACCCGGGTAGTTATCTAGTCAACCCCCAGCCACGTGTAAAAGTTCCCTCCCCAATATTTTTAGTTTATTTCTGTTTTCTCTTGGCTGGGTAACAAAGTGCAACTTTGAGACCCACAGAGAAAAGGCCTGGTTCTTGCCTAGAGCTCGTCTGTTTCAGATCTCATTCAAAGGCTTCCACTGGTATTGCCCCGTAACCCCCACCAAAACACACCACTCTTCAAGCCAAGCCCAGCATCAGGGCCATCCTGACATGATAGGGGCTTTCAGAGTTCCAAACCTCAGAGTTAAGTGTGTTTACTGTTTGTGTTAATGGGGAATTTCATTCCTGAACTGATGGGAATAAATCAAAGCCAGGCAGACCACAATATAGAAACAGAATGCTGCTTCTCTTTCTCCTTATCTTGCACCTTTCTAGAACATGTTGCTCATGAATCACGTTACTTTTAGGTCCACTCAGTCTTAATGAATGCACCCCTTGGTCATCTCCAACATCAAGATGATTTTGAAGAGTTGGCCTGAAACTGCTTCCTGAGAATTCAGGATCGGCTTGGTCCCCTCATCTCCCTTTCCTATGACCTCCTTTCAACACCATTTGTCTATGACTGGGGTGACCCTTACTGTCCCCTTAAGTGCACCTTTTATATGTTTCTCTTGAAGGCTGTTGGCACCTTTGCACAGTAGTGAAAGTTTCTCATGAACAGACAGGCTGGGAAATGGGAGGGAGTAGAAAGGTGAGGTTTCTAATGACTAACAAGCAGCAAGCAACACCCCAATGTTTTGACGAGCCCATTCCTCATTTGCTTCTCAGTATTTCTAAACCGAAGAGGAACTTTGTAGCGGGCATCCTAGTAAGGGGTGGGACAGGAAAAGACAGTCTTCTAGGTCTTTCATTTCCATCCCTGAAACTTATCAGGTCGGATTCCCAACCACTCAGGCCCTGCGGCCCTTCTGCACTCAGTATCACCACTCTGACTGTGGGGAGGTGTGAGCAGGGGGATGACTGGGCCTCATTACGTGCAGGCACTGTCCGCAGGATTTCACTTGGCCACAGATGTTGCCATTCTGGGCCACCACCCATTCAAAATTCATGCCACGCATGTACTCTCCAGCATTCTCTGCGCCAGTTGCCTTTACAGATCACTGGAGCTCCACAATCTATAAAGTAGGCAATGCAGTGGGGTTAACCTTTCTTCAGATGAGGAAATGGAAGCTGAGAGGTTCAGTATGCAGCTCAGTTTGACTTAGTTTCCCACATGTGTCCACTACAGGCTAGAAAGCAGGGCACACTGAGAGAGCATCTAATCAAACCTCAAAGCCTAAAGAGCCCACCGCAGTGCTGAACAAGCTCAGACACCCAGATCTTTGCAGGATCCATCAGGGCTGCTTCTGTGTCACACTGTTCTTGATTAGATCCCAGGCCCTAGGGCCGTTAAAAAACTTTAATTTTGTTTGGCTCTATTCTGGGTGTGCGGCTGACCTCTGGTGGCCACCTTGTTAATTAGTTTGCTCAGATGATTGGTTTTTAAAAAAAGGCTAAGGTGCTAGCTGTAGTCAGGTTGCAGGGAAAGAGAATTGAATGGAGTCCCTACTCTGCAGGAGCTCACAGTCTGGCAGGGAGACAGTAACAGAACAGGGTGAAAAGTTCTGTGATAAGCACAAGTAGAAGACCATGAGATCACACAAAGGAAGAAACACTAACACCCACAATATTTATAAGGCATCTGCAATAACATTATCTCATTTGATGCTTCTAACTACCCTCAAGTATTTATTATCATCATTCCACACTTGGTAAATTAACATGGAGGCCCAGAGATGTACAGCTAGTAAGCAGAGCCAGTACTCAAACTCAGGTCTTCTGATCTCTCTGTTGCACCCAGCCCCACCCAAGGGAAAGGCCCGGTGGGAGAGGCATGGGATCCTGCTGTATGGGAAGGAGGTGATCAGGCAGAGACACGGGAAGGGTGTTTCTGGGAGAGGGAAGGGCATGGAGTTTGTGAGAAAGCATGGAGGGCGTTAGGAATGGTGTGCGAAGGGAGAGGCCTGGGAGGGTGAAGGGGCTGTATACCCTGCGAGAAAGTACACGTGTTGTCCAGCCATGGAAAGCCATGAGGGTTTCCAGTGGAAAACAATAGGGTCATATTGGTTTTAAAGCTGGCTCTGCTTCAATGGGAGGATGGGTTGAGAGGTGAGCCTGGGGCCTGAGGGGCCACTCAGGATACTGCTGCCTGTGCCAAAGCAATGCTGACAGGAACCGGGTGGGAAGATAGGTGGGAGACCCTTGGAGCCCAGAGCTAGGCCTGCAGGGCTACTTCAAGGGGAGGCTGAAAGGGTGGCCCCATGTTCTTGGCTGGGGTAACCAGGTGGGAGGTGGTGCCAGCGCTGTGAAAGGGAACCTAGCTGGAAGAGCAAGTTTTCTGACAAGCTGGTGAGTTTGTTTATTTATTCCTTTACTCAATACATTTTACTGAGTGCCGACTATGTCTAGGAACTGTTCAGGGTTCTGAGAACTAAACACAAGTCTTGCACATCCTCCCTGATGGGGGAGGCTGACCATATGTAAAGTAAGTGAAACATTTAGTCTATCAGAGAGATATGGTTATTATAGAAGAAAGTCCTGCTGGGAAGGGGAACAAGGGAAAGGGGTGGGTTGAGGAAGCAGGAATTATAATTTTCAGTAGGGTGTTCAGGGATGGTCTCATGGAAGAAATGATGAAAGACTAAGAGTGGAATGGAAATGTCAGGTGCAGAGGCCTTGAGGCTAGAGCAGGTCTGGGAGTTGAGGGAACACAGGGAGGCCAGAGAGCTAGAATGGAATGAACAAAGGGGATGAGGACAGAGAAGAGATGGGGCTAGGGTAGGGGCAGATAGAGCTCTGACTGTCACAGTGCCAATTAGGACCTTTCCTCCGAATGATGAAAGGGCCCTTGGAGGGTTTTGAATAGAGCAGTAACATGATCTGACGTGTGTTTTAAAAGGATCACTGGGGCTGTGTTGACAACAGATTGTAGGGAGGGCAAGGATAGCTTGATCTTGACCCGGCCAGCATCCAGGGATGCGTGGAGAGTGAGAATTCCATACAGGTCACTAAGAAGAAATAGCTCAAGAAACAGAAGGAAGACTTGAGAGAGAAGGGTCAAGAAGCCAAGGAAGGCAGGAGTTTCCAAAGGGAGGGAGCCACTGGCAGAGCTGCTTCTAAGAGATCAAGTAGGAGGAGGACTGGGAAGTGTCCCCTGTCTGAAGATGCAGGGGTCCATGGAGACCTTGGTAAGGGCAGTCTGTACGCAGGGGTGGGGGCAGAAGCCAGACTGCTGCAGGTTGAAAATACCACTTAATCTCCCCAACCCCCAGTGCTCTGTACATTAATCTAGAGTTGGAAGACTTGGAAGGAAAGCCAGAAGGCACAGTATGAGGGCCTTTGAGAACCTCTGGCTGCCCCACTTACTTCATCAGAGGAGCAGACCAAGAACCAGTCCAAGGCCACAGAGCTCCGTGGGGCCAGAGCAGGGCCTGGATTACAGGTCTCTTGGCTCCCAGCCAAGTACTCATCTGTATGGGTATAATGTTAGCTGTCACAACAAATGAACCCCCAAGTTTGAGGGGGTCAACATAGCAACAGTTTGTTGCTTCATCTTATTTAAGCAATTAACCAACAGTTAACAAATACTTAATGGTTAACAATGGTTAATTTCTTGTAACAGTCTAATGCGGGTGTCTAGTTAATTGGTCCTTGTTCCCCTCATAGACATTCAGAGACAGGTTTCTTCCATCCTGTGGCTCCATAGCCTACAATTGTTCTTAACCATTTTTGACGTTGTGTATTCTTTTGAGAGGCTAATGAAATCTACAGACCTTTTCATCAGGAAAAAATGCACATATGTACATCCACACAAAATTTTGCATCCTTTCAAGGGGCTCATGGACCCTATGGATCCACTTGTCGAATCCCTGTGGGGCCTCAGAGACCTCTATGTCAGCTGACAGATGCAGAAGGCAGGCAGGCAAAGGCACAGCTACTTCTCTGGCCCTGCCCTCGGCACGGGGCCATCACCTCCATTCAGTCCGCTGGCGAAAACACCCTCACCCAACCAAGGTGCTGAGAGAGCTGGGGAAGGTCATTGTGGGGACACTGGGACACTGCAGAAGTGTCCCCAGGTTTCAGTGGACAGCTTGCCCCACTGCTGGCACACACAGCACCTCCATGCAGGTGGGCACGGTGGTTAGAATGTATCTCATAGGCACTTTTAGAGTTTAATCGTCTCATGGACTGTTTGCTCCCCACCTTCCAGCCTTGCCCAGGCTGTTCCTTTCTCCTTCCTTCTTCCATCTCCCAGTTCAGCCCATTTTCTTGGAGCCCTGCTGAGGGCCCATCTCTTCCAGGGTGCTTTCTCCAACTGTCTTAATCAGCAATCTCTGGCACCTCAGAGCTCATAGCAGCCGCCCTTCATTTAGTCTTCCTTGTGGCAGCTCTTGTCTGCTAGCATACAATGAAATGGGTCAGATGTTTTGACCCTCTAG